CGAATAAAATAAGGGAACATTATACACAAAAGTGGAAGAGAGAACGAGGGAGAGCGAGAGAGAGAGAGAGAGAGAGGGGGGAGAGAGAGAGAGAGAGAGAGAGAGAGAGAGAGAGAGAGAGAGAGAGAGAGAGAGAGAGCACGACTTTTGATGAAGCACATTGTAAACCACGCATTGCTTATTACATAAGAATGACTTTTATTCTTTATCTGGTTCAACTGTTTCTCCTTTGGTTTTAATAATTGGTTCATGCAAGTCAGCTATTGTTCACGGGTCTGTGATTAGCTCACTTTATTTTTTAAACAGTTAGTCAATTGCAATAGTCTCCAGACAATATGACGAAAGTTGAGAATTTTTTTTTTAATTTAGGAGATCTTCTAATAATGTTTCAAGTATGGATCGTCAGCTTACCTGATATAATACACATGGCATAATATAGTTATACCGGTTCATGCGATCATTGCGGGTGGGGTGGGGTGGGGGCAAAGCGAAGAGAACAATAGGGAGACTAAGTGAACCCCGCGGGGGTAGGGGGCGGAGCAGAATTGGTGACACTAACACGATTTTATGGTCATATGCTCTTATGTTCTAGAAAAAAAAAAAGGTATTGAAGTCTTCAGTCGAAATTTAGAAAAATCAGAGAGATAGTTTCCCTCAATCTTTCGAAGTTTTTGGACAAGGAGGTGCGTTGGTTAGTATTGGATTACGCTAAACAACCTACCAATAAATAACATTCATCCGTTCTTTCTGGAAACATCTACTGTTTATAATGAATACCCGTAACATATCAGATGTACACACTTCTCGCTTTCGTTAGCCCTGTAAACTAAATAACAATTGTTATAGTCTTGATAGTCTTCACATGCTAGCAACAGTGTCTTTAAAGCACACCCTCTTACATTTAATCATTATTGATTAATAATCGTCGGTGGCCTAGTGGTTAGGCTCTCGGACTCGCAACCGTAAGGTCGTGGGTTCGAATCCCGTCAAGGGTCCGACGTTGTGTCCTTAGGAAAGGCACTTTACACGAATTTTCCTCACTTCACCCAGGTGGGAATGGGTACCCGGCTACAGACAGCGAAAGATCTTGTCAGTTTGTTAGTGTTTGAGCGCTTAATCGGCTGCTCGCACTGTATGCTTCCCGGGAAGCTGAGAATGTTTCGGAGTGTTCTATGGTCTGCTGGGGTAATAATATAGTGTAAAGCGCATAGAGCCTGCTGCTGAGCGGGGATATGCGCTATACAAATGCTATCTATTATTATTATTATTATTATTATTATTATTATTATTATTATTATTGAAGCTTGCGCTACTGGTCGTTAATTATTCCTTTCCTGAACACTCTAAAACTCGGACAAAGATATAATTCTTGACGTTTTCCACAAGACAATTATATCAAATGAGTGACAGGTTAGAAACACATGAACACATTCCAGGCTGTTTGTTCGTGTATCCTTTTAAAAGACAGGCTGTTGTATTGTCGGGATCAAAACCTTTGGTTACATTTTGGGACCAGAAAATTCTTTATATTTCACTTTGATTTATTTTGATATAGTTATCTTTTTTTTTTTTTGACTTTAGAAATTTCGTGCTAAAATTGAAATAACCAAACCGTTAGAAAAAAGTCATAATATAGTATTGCTTGTAATATTTGCATACGCCTGGAATACTGACAATTAGATTTAGCTCAGTATCTTGGCAAAGGACCAAGTGCTCCAAATTCCTATTGTTAATTAAATAACCTAAGATGCGTGGAGCAGAGTGTAAAACGTCAACCGAATCAGAAAGTAGTTTCTGAGCCAGCAAAGGCAGATTTAAAACTAGACAAATGGATGGAATGCTGGTCTCCTTAGCGGAAAAAAAAGTATAAGCTGAAAGCAGACTTTCTCGCTTACTTAGACACAAATCCCCGGAGGTAATGAGGCGTTGAGCCTACTTGAGGAATGTTTTAGTCGCGTATTTTAGTGCGCGTATTGTGCGAAGCAGTGGACACTTGAAGGTCGATTGACTACTTTACAGCCCGAATCGACAAGTCGACCCAACATAGACACATCCTTCAAGTAGGCTAACGGTTACTATAACCCCTTCACCGCAAAGAAATTGCGTTCTCATGAACGAATCAGCCCCCAACAAGTTTTGTTCAGCGAGCTGGTTTGTATTCAGTTCTTCGAGATTGGATTGAGATGAGAACAGGAGGGCGACCATGATTGCACGCTTGGTGATGGTTTTTTGAGGGGAGCACAACGTAAGAATAATAGGAATATCACTCATGATAAGTGAGCCGGGAGAGAACTTAAGACTTCGAGGGTCACAAGTGGAGTGGGTAGCTAGGCCAGAATTGGTAATTTCGCTCTTCAATAATCTCGGGAGGAGATAGCAAAGAAATGAACACAGATTAAATATCTAGCAAGGCTGACTTTACTTGAGGCCAAAATAATGGTTTAATTATTCCCAATTCTTGTCTCACACCTGAACGTCCCACAGTGTCCTTGAGCATCAACATTTCTGATCTCTGCGTGACATTTGCTTTTACTTATAAGTACCCGCAGGTGCTGAATTCGGTACAGTCGCACTGGTAAACATACATAATATACTTTGCATTTTCTGTATCGTATATTGGACCGGTAATGCCATCATTAGATGGAAGAAGTGAAAACCACAATTATATTATCAAGCGACTTAAGAGTCGAGGAATGTGCAGAGAGGACCAGTATAAAAATGTATTTCAAAAGTTTGGAAAACTGCTTTCCTATTATTGATTACTTTTCTGCATTGCCGTTTTTTTCAAAGACCCCCCCCCCCC